TGGCTAATGCATGTACCCTATAGCAAAAATAAAAAAAATATATAAATAAATAAATAAAATCCATATATTGGCAGTATGTTGGCATAGCGTTATAATTACTACCTCTGAACCTATTTATTAGAGAATTAATGCATGAACCTATTTTAAAACTTATTTATTTATTTAATTCCATTTGTTGTTATTTTTAAATTTGAGCAGAAAGAGACACAGAGAAAGGGAATGCGAGAAAGCAAGTCACCAGATCCAGGACTCAAACCACAGTTGGCCATGTGGGAATCCAGCACCTTTAACTACCACGGCACCTGCCGGCCCTTAAACCTGTCGTTTTTTAAAAAGTATTTCAGGGCCAGCTGGCAGCATGGTGTTAAGGCAGCTGGATCCCACTTGGCCTAATGTGCAATTGGAATCTTGGACCCACAGGCTTGCAGAGTATGCTGGGCATGTTTGTGTGTGTGCCCAAGATACCGAGAGGAGAAGGAATCGGAGTGTGGCCATTCCTCCACCTCCCTCTGTTGGTTTCTCTGGCGAGCACATGCTCCACATATCAAAAAACTTAAAAAAAAAAAAAAAAAAGGGGGGGTTTAGCATTTCCTTTGTGGTGTGAAACTGCTCTCAATCTGACAATAATTTAAATGATTAAATTAACAAAATTTGGTGTTTAATGGAGACATTATTCTCTTCTTTTTTAATTTCTTAAGAGAGCTTTTGGCTGTAGGGCATGTGTGCTTGCTGGAGAGACACAGAGAAACAGAAAGCAAGAAATCACCCCACCCCCACCAGGATGGCTACGCTGCAATCTCTTCTCCATTCTCCTCTTGGGATCTTGGGAACCTATGCACATGATCCTGGTGAGTTTTAAGCCACCAGGTCCAGGACTTGAATTGCAGTCGACTACGTGGGAGTCCAGCAACATAACCATTACACCATCTACTGGTTACCACATTATTCTCTTCTAAAAATATTTTATAATTAGGAGGAAACAAGTACCTAGATATTTAAATTACCAAGCTGTTAAACTACTTTTTTTTTTTTTTTTCTTAAGTTTGCTACAAGGCTAGCTCTTCACTGGAGAGAGACAGAGAGAGAGAAATCATCCTTGTCCATTCTTGGGATTTGGGGCACACGGGCATATAAGCCTGGTGTGTTTTTCAGGCTGCCAGGTCCAGGATTTGAACTGTATAGTCACGCTTGTGGGATTCAGCTGCCTTAACCACCATGCTATCTGCTGACCCGCTGAAAAGATTTATAAAACTTAAATAAAAGTTCTGTTATATTGCTTATTTTTATTTTAGGTCTTAATTTATATGTCTGTGACACATATATTTCAGAATTAGTTTGCTTGTCAAAAACAATTTAGTGTGCTTTAAACTTTCTTAGTCATTTTATAGCAGGTTACTTAGACGTAAGTCATCAGGGCCCATAGTGGTTGAGGCACTGGACTCCCACATGGCCAACTGGTTTGCATCTCGAATCTGGAGACTTGGTGGCGTGCATCGCACACATGTGCATGCATGCCAAAATCCCAGGAGGAGACTGGAGGAGAAGGGATTGCAGTGCAGCCATCCTCTCTCGGGGGTGATTCTCGCTGTCTCTCTAGTGAGCACACGTGCACTATAGCAAAAATCTCTCTAAAAAAATAAGTCATCAATATGGTTTATTTTGGGGATGGGAATGACAATATCATTGTTTTTGTGAAGATTATCGACATCTTCCCTGTTAGAACCAGTTAGTCCTAGAATCACTTCCTTTCCTGTGGGAGAGTAGCCTCTTAGCTATTTTGGGAGAAGTTCTGTCCCTTTGAAAGTTTGTTCCTATCATGATGATAATGAGAGGGAGACATAGTAGATTGCTTGTTATTTCTGTAAGTATCTCTAAAATTAATTCAGGCACTTGAGAGTTAAACTCATTAAGTTTGGTTAATAAGTATTCAGTATATATAAGTTAACATAATGCTGTTTTTACAACCAAAATCTCAATTCTTTTGCTTCCTTAGCGCTGGCTTACAGAGCAGAGAGCTCAGTGTCCTCATTGCCGGTAAGTGTTTCGCTACCATTATTTGTCAATTTGTAAAATAGTAAGGTGTTATGGTCAGAGTGTGTTCTAGGACTTATAAAGGCAATTTCCTCTTTAATGTAAAATTTGGTGAATACCTTTCTTTGATGGTATGTATATTTGTATATATATATTTTTTTGCTATAGGGCGTGTGCGCTCGCCAGACAGACAGAGAGAGACAGAGATAGAAAGCTGGCCCCCCCCATTCAACTTTTTAAAAAAATCATAAAAAGGGACCAGCAGTTAGCGTAATGGCTATGTCGCTGGACTCCCACGTAGTTGGCCACGGTTCGCGTCCTGGACCCGGTGGCTTAAACTCACGCCGGGCGCGTGTGCGTGCATGCCCAAGATCCCAAGAGGAGAATGGAGGAGAAGGGATTGTGGCGTCGCACTCCCCCCTGGGGGTTGATTTCTCGCTTTCTATCTCTGTCTCTCTCTGTCTGGCGAGCGCACACGCCCTGTAGCAAAAACCTCTCCAAAAAAAAAAAAAGAAAGAAAAATGTTGAATAGGGACCAGTGGATGGCATAATGGTTACATCATTAGACTCCCTCTCATGTAGTCAACCACGGTTTAAATCCCGGACCCAGCGGATATATGTGCGTGCGTGCCCAAAATCCCGAGAGGAGAATGGAGGATAAGGGATTGTGGCATGGCCGTCCTGCCTGGGGAGCGATTTCTCTCTTTCTGGTGAGCACACATGCCCTATAACAAAATCCTCTCAAAAAAAAAAAAAAAAAAAAAAAAAGTTATCCACTAACTCTTGGTGTCTATAGAGTAATTAAAATGTGTCTAGGGTAACTCTGATTAAATTTTATTTTTATTAATGATTTAATGTTTTTTTTAAGAGTGATTTTTGTGGGGCTGGCAGGTGGCATGGTGGTTGGGTATACTGGACTCCCACATGACCTACCATGGTTCTAGTCCTAGACCTGGCGGCTTGCTTTCTCACTTTCCCTCTCTTTCTCTCTTATTCTCACTGTCTCGCTTTGTGTCTCTCTGGTCAAATTAAAGTAAATACATAAATGAAGTTAAATAAAGTAATTTTTTTTTAAAGTGGTTTTTGCTATAGGATGCATGTGCTCACCAGAGAGACAGAAAGCGAGAAATCACTCCCTGAGGGGATGGTTATGCCACAATTGCTTCTTCTCTGTTCTCCTCTCAGGGTTTTGGGCACGCATGCACACACACCTGGTGTGAGTTTTAAGCCTCTGGATCCAGGACTTGAACCGTGGTTGTTGACTACGTGAGAGTCCAATGACGTAACCATTGTGCCATCTCCTGGTCCCCTAGTAACTTAATTTTTTACTTTCTTTGTTTTTATTTTGCCAGAGGGTTCATGAATACATTTCCCAGAGATGGAGAAAAGGGGAGAGGGTAAAAGCACTTCCCAGTGGGGACTGGTCATGCTGCAATTCCTTTTCTGCCATTTCTCCATCCTGTCAGGATTCGAGGCATGCATGCACCCATGCCTGGCATGTTTCTCACATGTTTCTTGAGCTACAAGGGTTGGAATTTAGACTGCCAAGTCAGCCATGTGGGATATGATTCCCTTAACCACAAAGCTATTTGGGCTGGTCCATTTTCCCTTTTTTTTTTTGGAAGAGTTATGTACTTACTGGGAACCAGCAGTTACCATAACAGCTATGTTGCTGAACTCTCATGTAGTTGATCACAGTTTGAGTCTCATACCCGGTGGCTTATAATCACGCTGGGTGCGTGTGTATGTGTGCTCAAGATCCCGAGAGGAGAATGGAGGAGAAGGGGTTGCGGTGTGGCCATCCCCTCTGGGGGGTGATTTCTCACTTTCTGTCTCACTGTCTCTCTCTGTCTTTCTGGCAAGCGCCCTATAGCAAAAACCTCTCCAAAAAGAAAACGCGAGTTATGTACTTACTTAATTTCATTTGTTATTATTATTAGTATCTTTTATTTGACCAGAGAGAGAAAGGGAAAGTGAGAAAGCAAGCTGCCAGGTCCAGGACTTGAACCATAGTTGGCCATGTGGGAGTCCAGCGCCTCAACCACCATGCTATCTATTGACCCTGCTTTTTGTTTGTTTGTTTGTTTGTTTATCTCTTATATGAATGAACAAGAGAGACAGCACCTACAACAGGATTTTGAAGCCGTGATCCACCCTCAGCTTCAGCCAGCCCTGAATCATAGGCCCATGCATGCCTAGCATCTTAGGGAGGTTTCCGGACACAAACAAAGAACTTTCCCACGTGGGTCAGCCTTGCAGAGCATTATATTTTATTGCTGTATCACAATTCACCCCAAATTTTTATTTTATTTATTTTTGGGGGGGCAGGGGGGAGGTTTTTATTATAGGGCATGTGTGCTCGCTGGAGAGACAGAGAGAGACAAAGCGAGAAATCACTCCCCAGGAGGAAGGGCCACGCTGCAATCCCTTCTCTATTCACCTCTTGGGATCTTGGGGCACGCATGTACATGTGCCCAGTGTGAGTTTAAGCCACCGGGTCCAGGACTCGAACTGCGGTCGACTACATGGGAGTCCAGCGGCATACCCATTACGCCAACTGCTGGTTCCTCAGATTTTGAATTTTAAATAATGTGGCTGGTGGTTATCATTTGAGGATAGTATAGCTTTGTACTAAGGGGTTGAAAATTCAGTCTATTTTTAATTTTTGGTAAGTGATGTATTAATGTGGTGAACATAAATTACAAAGCCTACTTTTCATTATGTCTTTGTTGTTTTATTACATTATGGTATGCGTATGATTTGGAGCTCTATTTTAAGGAATGTTTATTTTAGAACATCTCAAAAATCCTGGGTTTGCTTTCCAGTGCTCCACTTCAGCTACGAGAGCTAGTAAATTGCCGTTGGGCAGAAGAAGTAACACAGCAGCTTGACACTCTTCAACTCTGCAGTCTCACCAAACATGAAGAAAATGAAAAGGACAAGTACGTCCTCTGTTTCTTTGTTCAGTATTTAATAGATTTTTTTCATGTTTTTTTTTAATGACAATATACTAGTAGTTCCTTTCAGTTACTTATAAATGAAAATATATTAAGTTTTTAATTAATTTACTTGTATGCTAGTCTTATTTGGTATTATTTAAAATAATTAACTTATTATGTTGTTTATTTAACAACATGTATTTTATCTCAGGTATACACATAGATATCCGTACTCAAAAGTACTATGCTAGATTATAGGGATACAAAGGCAAACAAGACACAGTTTTGCTTAACTGTTTAATGGACACACAGTGATAATACAGGACTATGTCGTCATTGGGGATTGTCTTTGGAGCAGAATCTCTGAGGGACAAGAATGAATGAATGGTCTTTCATTCCCTGACTGGAGAATTTTAATCATACCCGAAGGGTTGTTATCAGGACCAGATTAAAGATTTAATAATGTAGCAGCAGTTTGTTTTTATAGGTAAAGAAACTACAACCCGGTTAATTGCAAGGCTTCACAGTCCAACAAAAAGGAAATAAGGTGAATTAGGAGAGATTCCAGGATTTGCCCAGTGTGAGTTTAACCCACCGGGTCCAGGACTCGAACTGCGGTCGACTACATGGGAGTCCAGCGGCATACCCATTACGCCAACTGCTGGTTCCTCAGATTTTGAATTTTAAATAATGTGGCTGGTGGTTATCATTTGAGGATAGTATAGCTTTGTACTAAGGGGTTGAAAATTCAGTCTATTTTTAATTTTTGGTAAGTGATGTATTAATGTGGTGAACATAAATTACAAAGCCTACTTTTCATTATGTCTTTGTTGTTTTATTACATTATGGTATGCGTATGATTTGGAGCTCTATTTTAAGGAATGTTTATTTTAGAACATCTCAAAAATCCTGGGTTTGCTTTCCAGTGCTCCACTTCAGCTACGAGAGCTAGTAAATTGCCGTTGGGCAGAAGAAGTAACACAGCAGCTTGACACTCTTCAACTCTGCAGTCTCACCAAACATGAAGAAAATGAAAAGGACAAGTACGTCCTCTGTTTCTTTGTTCAGTATTTAATAGATTTTTTTCATGTTTTTTTTTAATGACAATATACTAGTAGTTCCTTTCAGTTACTTATAAATGAAAATATATTAAGTTTTTAATTCTTTTACTTGTATGCTAGTCTTATTTGGTATTATTTAAAATAATTAACTTATTATGTTGTTTATTTAACAACATGTATTTTATCTCAGGTATACACATAGATATCCGTACTCAAAAGTACTATGCTAGATTATAGGGATACAAAGGCAAACAAGACACAGTTTTGCTTAACTGTTTAATGGACACACAGTGATAATACAGGACTATGTCGTCATTGGGGATTGTCTTTGGAGCAGAATCTCTGAGGGACAAGAATGAATGAATGGTCTTTCATTCCCTGACTGGAGAATTTTAATCATACCCGAAGGGTTGTTATCAGGACCAGATTAAAGATTTAATAATGTAGCAGCAGTTTGTTTTTATAGGTAAAGAAACTACAACCCGGTTAATTGCAAGGCTTCACAGTCCAACAATAATGAAATAAGGTGAATTAGGAGAGATTCCAGGATTTTTGGTTTTTTATTTTGAAATTTTTAAAAATTTTTTAATTTTTTTTTTGGAGAGGTTTTTGTTTTTGCTATAGGGCGCGTGTGCTTGCCAGACAGTGACAGACAGAGAGACAGAAAGCGAGAAATCACCCCCAGGGGGGTGGCCATGCCACAATCCCTTCTCCTCCATTCTCCTCTCGGGATCTTGGGCACGCACGCACACGCGCCGGGCGTGAGTTTTAAGTCACCAGGTCCGGGACACGAACAGCAGTCGACTACATGGGAGTCTAGCAACATAGCCGTTAAACTAACTGCTGGTCCCCCAGGATTTTTATTTTGAACATATTAAAATTTTTGTTTCATTTATGTGAAAACCAGGCAGATGTTCTAAAAAGTTCAAAAGAGTGTCTGAGAAAGACACTTTTTACACATTAGACTGTCTAATTAAATTTGTAAATGGAAGCAAATGGGCCTTTGCTCAGTGGAACAAGGATTGTGGTTGAATCTGTGCTGATCAGGTTCGCACTTGTACCTCTGTTGGTAAGAATGGTTTTGTATTACTCTCAGTTGCCTACAGCTTGTACAAAATTCAAAGACAGTGGAAGGAACACAGGAAGGGTGTGTTATATATAGATTAGATAACAGATTCATTAAAACGTGATTTTCCTTCAGAAAGAGGAAATCATTCCTTCTTTCCTTCATTTATAGGACTCTTGAATCTTTAGAAATAAAACCATATCACCTTCTGGTCAGCCATGTGGGAGTCCAGCAACATAACTATTACACCATCTGCTGACCCCATATTAAACTTCTTTTTTTTGGGGGGAAGAGAGATTTTTGCTATAGGGTGTGTACATTTGCTGGAGAGACAAAGAAAGAAATCAGCACCCCCCCCCCCATTAAACTTCTTTTTTTTGGGGGGAAGAGAGATTTTTGCTATAGGGTGTGTACATTTGCTGGAGAGACAAAGAAATCAGCACCACCCCCCCCAGGGGGATGGCACACCACAGTCCCTTCTCCTCCATTCTCCTCTCTGGATCGTGGACAAGCATGTACACATGCCCGGCGTGAGTGTTAAGCCACTGGGTATGGGACTTGAACTTCGGTGAACTATATGTTGGAGTCCAGTGATGTAACCATTATGCCATCTGCTGGTCCTCTCAACTTAACCCTTTTTTCTTTCTTTCTTTTTTTTTTTTTCTTTTAGAGTTTTTTTGCTATAGGGTGCTTGCACTTGCCAGAAAGACAGAAAGAGACAGAAAGCGAGAAATCACCCCTGAGGGGGGATGGCCATACCACAATCACATCTCCTCCATTCTTCTCTTGGGATCTTGGGCACACACACACATGCGCCCGGTGTGAGTTTAAGCCACAGGGTCCGGGACTAGAACTGCGACTACATGGGAGTCCAGTGACATAGCCAGTACGCTAACTGCTGGTCCCCCCTGAATCTTAACCATTTTTAAGCCTACATTTAAACTGCGTTAAGCACGTTGTTGTGCGATCAGTACCTAGAAACTTCATTTTGTAAGTCTGAAACTATATCCTGAGTATGTAACTTCCTGTTTCCTCTTCCTACCAGCCACTGATAGCTACCCTTATACTTTCTATTTCTATGGGTTTGACTACTTTGTAGACACCTTCTATAAGGAAAATTATACAATATTTGTCTTTTTGTAACTGGTGTATTGAATAGCATAATTTCCTCATGATTCACTCAGATTTAGCGTGTATCAGAATTTCCTTCCTTTTTTAAGACTAATATTCTGGGAGCAGCAGATGGTGTAATGGTTATATCACTGGACTTCCACATGGTTGACCACGGTTCGAAATCCGACCCCAGTGACTTAAAACTCACACCAGGCGCATGTATTTGCATGCCCAAGATCCCAAGAGGAGATTGGAGAAGGGATAGCTGGGTGACTGTTTCCCTTGCAGATTGATTTCTTGCTTTCTGTCTCTCCATTGACCGCACGCACCCTAAAACAAAAATTTCTCAGAAAACAAAAAAAAATTCCATTTTTGTGTATACCATGGTTTCTCTTTTTTTTAAAGAATTATTTTATTTAACTTTATTTACTTTTAATTTGACCAGAGAGGGACAGAGTGAGAGGAGAGTGACAGACAGAGAGCGAGAGCGGGAGAGAGAGAGGGAGAAAGTGAGAAAGCAAGCCCCCAGGTCTGGGACTTGAACTATAGTCAGTCATGTGGGAGTCCGGCGCCTTTAACCACTAGGCCACTTGCCAGCCCCCACATGTTGTTTTTTCATTCAGCTGTCAGTAGACATTTTGGTTTCTTCTGCCCTTCAGCTATTAATTTTAATTTCACTGTGACCATGGGTGTTTATGTCAAGACTCTCAGTTTTTTTGGAGATTATACCCAAAAGTAGAATTAATATATCGTATGATAATTCTTTTTTTTATTTGTAAAGAACCTCTGTAATGTTTTTCATAGTGGCTATACCATTTTACAGTCCCACCAACAGCGTATATAGTTTCAGTTTTTCTATATTATGCCCAGCCAGATTTTTTCTTTTTGCTTCTGTTTGTGATAGCAGCCATCTGAATTGATGTGAGGTTTTGATTTGCATTTTCTTAATGATTAGTGGTGTTGAACATCATTTCATATTCTTGTTGGCTATTTGTATATCTTTTTTGGAGAAATGCATGTTCAAGTCCTTTGTCCACATTTTAATTGGATTTTTATTGATTATTATTATACTTAAAATTTTTTTAGGTTGAAGAGATTATTCTTGATATTAACCCTTTATCAGATGTAGCACTTGTAAATATTTTGTTTTTCATTCTATAAGTTGCCATTTCACTGTGTTGGTTGTTACATCTGATATATAGACATTTCTAATTTTTATGTAGTCTAATTATTTTTTTTTTACTTTTGTCACGTAGCTATTTTGTCACTTGCCATTTCACTGTGTTGGTTGTTACATCTGATATATAGACATTTCTAATTTTTATGTAGTCTAATTATCTTTTTTTACTTTTGTCACATAGCCAAGAAATTACTGCTAAATGAAGTGTCATGAAGCTTTTCCTCTGTTTTCTTTTAAGAGTTTTATAGTTTCGAGCATTATGTTTAGATCTTTGCTGTATTTTGAGTTTGTTTTTATGGTGTAAAGTAAGGGTTTATATTATTCTGCTGGGTTTACCATAACAGCACAAAGGATGGTATAGTTTAAACGATAGAAATTTATTTTCTCACAGTTCTGAAGGCTGAAAGTCCAAGACCAAGATGCCTGCAGGGTTGTTTTTTTTTTTTTTTTTTTTTTGTGAGGTCTCTTTTATTGACATATTCACAGATTGCCTTCTCACTCTGTCCTCACATGGCCTTTGCTATGTGTATGTGCACCGCATGTCTCTTCTTCCGCCAGACCTATTGGATTTGGGTCCCGTTTTTCTGATCTCATTTAATCTTAAAGGCTTTCTTAAAGGCCTCATCTCCAAATTTAGTCACATTCATGATTAAAGCTTTTACATGGATTATTTTTTGGCGGGGGGATACAGTTCAGTCCAGACTCAGCAGAGTCCAACTTCGTCGTTTTACATGTAGATAACCAGTTTAAGAGGAAAATTTAAATTGAGTTGTTCGTTTCCCATGAAGATCTGGTATTACATTGTGTAGCTGATCGTGGCCGTGATTATTGTAATCATTGGCCACATGCAAGAAAAGTATTTGTGTATGCACACATGTTTACATAGGTAGAGATACATAATCTGAGTAGTAAGCACTTGCCCAAAAATATAGTAGGACAGAATTTATCATTTGTAGTGATTCTAGGAAATGATACTGTATTGATATTTTACTTAGAAATAAATACGCAGTTTGCATATATTGTAAGGTCTAGATGAATGAAAATTGTAATTAATTTTATCTACATATAATTCTTTAGCTTAATTCACAGAAACCATGAAGTATGTTTTGTATTTTTTTTTTTCTGAGACATACTGTTTAAAATGGATTAATCTGTTTGTCCAAACTTATAAATATGTTGAGGTAATTGTTTTATTTTAGTTGATTTAATTTTTTATAACTGTATTTTTCTCCTCATAATGTATAGATGTGAAAATCACCATGAAAAACTTAGTGTGTTTTGCTGGACTTGTAAGAAGTGTATTTGCCATCAGTGTGCACTGTGGGGAGGAATGGTGAGCAGAACAAATTCAATATATATTATCTTTAGTTAGAGACTAGAACTCACTGAAATATTTCATTTAACAGAATATGCCATTTTACCATGTTACAGAATAAAAATTAGGATGCATCTGCTTTTTAGATTCTTTACTACAGATACAGGACCTTCTGTACTAGAAGAACCTCCTTTGTGGAGGTGCTTGATGTAGGACTTGTGCTTCTTAAATATTTTACTTTAACCTATAACATACCTTTATTTGCATATCTTCTGCTGTAGAATCAAAGTCTTTTCCTTGAGTAAGGGTCATTTGGTCTGATATATTGGCCACAATTTCCAATTTTGGTTTCTTCAAAATGGAGCAAGAATGTAGACAATTCTGAAACAAATTGAGTGCAAATATCATCATATGTTGTTCAATGACAGGGATATGCTCTAAGAAATTCGTTATTAGGCCATTTCATCCTTCTGTGAATATCACAGTGTACTTACATAACCTGGACAGTATAGCCTACTGAACAGCTAGGCTATGTGGTATGGCCTATTAACATTTTGTGGAACTAGCTTTTTGTATCTAGTCTGTTGTTGACTGAAAAGTCGTTATACAGCACCTGCCTATATCTAGATCTTATCATGTTTTTTCCCACTTTTTAGTTTCTTTGCTTCAGGCTAATATAAAAGCAGCTTGTTTTTGTTTTTAATTTGCTGTAAGGCACCTTTACTCACTGGTGAGAGAGAGAGAGAGCAAGTGAGGGGAAGGGAGTAAGAAAGCACCGCCCAGGGTAGGTAGCTAGACTGCAGTTCCTTTTCCTCCATAGTCCTCAGGAATTTTTGCATGCCTGCACACGTGTCTGGCATGTTGCCCCAACCATCAGGTCCTGGAGTTGGACTGTTCAGCCAGCTACATGGAATTCACCTGCCTTAACCACCATGCCACTGGTCTGGCCCTAGAAAAAATAAAGTTCTCACAATTTAATATTTAAATGGATGAGTTTTGTGAGAAGCAATGGAAACATTATTTTCCTTGTTCACTTAAAATGAACATGTGAAAATCCACATATTTTTTCCCTCCTGCACACCCCAGTGGGGTGCTTCAGCTAAATAAGACAATTCTAATAAAAGCTTATCTGTTACGGGAAGTTTCTTAAAATAGACTTTTTTTTTTTTTTTGGAGAGGTTTTTGCTATAGGGCGCTTGTGCTCGCCAGACAGAGACAGACATAGAGACAGAAAGCGAGAAATCACCCCCCAGTGGGGGATAGCCACGCTGCAGTCCCTTCTCCTCTCGGGATCTCGGGCATGTACGCACATGCACCCAGTGTGAGTTTTAAACCACCCGGTCTGGGACACAAACTGCGGTCTACTACATGGGATTCCAGTGACATAGCCATTACACTAACTGCTGGTCCCTTATAATAGACATTTAATAATTTATTTGCCAGTTAAGGGAGTTGTATATTATGGTGCTCAAGTTAGATCGAAAATTGTTTTTAGGTTGTTGTCCTTTGAATTGAGTACACTGGATTTGACAGATTCATTTGTATCAGCCTTCTATCTCTACTGTAATTTTTTGTGGCATGACAAGTGGGTTTCTTTTGTGAATTATATACCCTAGATTTTCCCCTCAAGTGTCTTAATTCATTCAGTTATGTTAGAACCTGGGGATTTGGTGATGAACAAGGTAGGTATCAGTTAATTCTGCATTTAATTAGTGTGACAAATGTTAGGAATAAGTATAGAGGACTGATGAGATTGTATTATTGTGGGAGCTGATTCTGTAAACTTGAGCTAAACTCCAAAGGGTGAGTAGGAATTAAGAGCTACAGATGGGGAGGGAAAATGAAGGGGAGTTATTTTTTAGTGAGTGGGAGTAGCTTTTTCAAAGGCCTGATGGGAAGAAGTTTGAGGATATGGAAGAAAGCTAGTGTTGCCTGAGGAAGAGTGGCTGATACTGTGTCAACTGATCTGGGCTGTGGTTGAGGATTATAGCTTTTCTAGTGAGTCAAGATTTCTAAGTAAATATGAACATTTCACTAAAACCCTTTATTTACTATCCTGAATGAGTTCTTAAATGGACCAAGTGATTTTAACCAAGTGCTGATCTGCTTTGAAACAAATAAATGTAGTTAAAAAGATATGCAGATGACATGTGAAAATGTTCTAAAACTGCTCTTATTAATTTAAATAGCATGGTGGACATACCTTTAAGCCCTTGGCAGAAATTTATGAGCAACATGTCACAAAAGTGAATGAAGAGGTAGCCAAACTTCGTCGGCGACTCATGGAATTGATCAGCTTGGTTCAAGAAGTGGTAAGACTGTTATTAAAATATTATTATCCTTTTGTATATATACATATTTTGTAAGGTAAAACAATCAGATGTTGAAATCAAGGTTTGAACACTTGATAGGCTGTATCTATAGTTGATCTTAACCATTTTCACACTAGCTGAGGCATTTGCATTCAAAGCAGGAGAGAGAGGGAAAGTGAGGAATCACCCCCCAGGGCAGATATCCATGCTGTAGTCCCTTCTCCATTCTCTTCTCTGGATTTTGGACATACATGCCTATGTGCCTTGTGTGATTTTCAAGTCACCAGGTCTGGGACTCAGACTGTGGTCAGCCGTTTGGGAATCCAGTGCCTTACACTGTACCACCTGCTAGCCCCAGGAAAGATTGATCTTTATTTTCTGTTGTATCCTAGTTTGGAATCTGTTATATATACTAATCTACAATTTTGGAAAAACCTATTTTTATTTCTTTTTTTATTTAGTTCTGAAAACAAAATCATATAAACTAGAATAGATTTTTTTTTTTTTTTGGAGAGATTTTCACTATAGGGCACGTGCGCTCGCCAGACAGACAGAGAGAGACATAGAGACAGAAAGCGAGAAATCACCCCCCAGGGGGGATGGTCATGCCACAATCCCTTTTCCTCCATTCTCCTCTCGGGATCTTGGGCACGCACGCACACGCGCTCAGCGTGAGTTTTAAGCCACCGGGTCCGGGACGCAAACCGCGGTCGACTACGTGGGAGTCCAGCGACATAGCCATTACGCTAACTGCTGGTTCCCTAGAATAGATTTTTTCCAAAAAGTTTATTGTTTTATTTCATGAGAATGATAGAGAGAACAATAATCACCCTCAATAGGGTCTTATACCATTACTCCTTCCCCACTAGCCCTACAGCTAACCAGGATCATAGGCATGCATGCACCTACGATGCACCTGCTGTACACAGGTTCATCCAGGAACCAAACCCCTCCCTATCTTCCATATGGCTTCCGGCAGCACTACAGGGAGTTATATTATTACACTCCCTACCTGGGACTTTTTTTTTTCCTCATTTCTTTCAGAGTTTTTCAGAATGTGAACTGGCTTGGGACCAGCAGTTGGTAGAATGTCTATGTCGCTGGACTCACATGTAGTCAACTGCAGTTTGAACCCCAGACCTGGTGGCTTAAACTCAAGCTGGGTGCGTGTGCTTGCATGCCCAAGATGCCAAGAGGAGAATGGAGAAGGGATTGTGGCTTGGCCATCCCCTCTGGGGGGTGATTTCTCGCTTTCTGTCTCTCTCTCTGGCGAGCGCATGTGCCCTAAAAAAAGAATCTGAACTGGCTTTATCTTTTTTTTGGTTATTTTTGAAAAGTGGTTTACTATCAGGGACGTTTGGGGCTTTGAGTTTGTGTTCTGTATTTATTAACATAACCTTTTTTTGGTTTGTTTTTCATATTTGTCAGAGGATGCATGTGCTTGCCACAGAGAGAGAAAGTGAGAAAGCATCCCTCCACGGAAAACGGTCATGCCACAATCTGTCCTCTGTTTCTCCCTCCTTTGAGAATTCTGGGCATGCATGCACATGCACCTGGCATGCCTTTAGCCACCAGGTTCAGGACTTAAACTGCACGGTCAGCCATGTATGATCTAACTCCCTTAGCTATCATGCCACAAGCTAGCTCTCTAAGCCAGATTTTTGTCATTACAGACCTTTCTGCTTAATTGTTAAAATACTATGTATAGCTCTCCCCTCCCCCCACTCACCCCCCCACTTCGCTGCCTTTCTGTAGGGTTTTACATTCTCAGAATTGAAGTAGCTGCCTGAAACTGTGGATAATACTAAATCAAAATATTCTGTGCTTTTCCTTATGGGTACAAACATATCTAAGAGAAAGTTTAGTTTATAAATTAAGCATAGTAAGAGATCAACAGCAATAGCTACTATTAAAATAAATAAAACAATTATAACAACGTGCTGTAGTAATAGTTATATGAATGTGATTTATCTGTCACCCTTCCCTCCCTATACCTGAAAATATCTTACCATACTGTATTTACCTACTTTTAGACCACTGTTGACCGTAGGTAAATGAAACCAAAGAAAGTAAAACCATGGATAAGGGGAGACTACTATTTAAGATTTTTTTGTTTGATTTAGTTTGATGCACAGAATTGTTATTATTACTTTTTTTGAGAGGTTTTCCCTATATAGCACATGTGCTCCCCAGAAAGACAGAGTCTGGGACGCATACATGGTCCTACATGGGAGTTCAGCAACATAGCCATTACACTAACTCCTGGTCCTGATGCACAGAATTTTTAAAGCAATAAGTATTATTGGCTTCTGGATTTTTGTTTTTAATTGCCAGGGAGTGTATGTACTTATCAGAGAGACAGAGAGAGAAAGGAAGAAAAAGGTCTCTCCAATGAGATATTATCTCTTTGCAATCCCTTCTTCTTTGTATCATCCAAAATACTATTTTGGGCATGCACACACACATATCTATGTGTTTTTCAAGTCCCCAGGGCTGGAATTTAAACCACATTAGTTGGCCATTTGGGATCTGGCTTCCTTAACCAAGAGCCCCTAGACAAGACCTGGTTTCTGCTTTTTTAAAGAAAATCAGCTAACTTTAAGAATGTAGTATCTGGAGCCAGTAGGTGGCTTAGTGGCTAAGGGTATTGTACTCCCACATGGTCGACCACGATTTGTGTACTGGACCTGGCAGCTTGCTTTCTCTCTCTCTCTCTCCTATAAAATTTAAATAAATAACTAAAAAACGTTAAATAAGATAATTCTTTTAAGGAAAAAAAATACAGTATCTATTTACTTCTCATATTGAAATGATCTAATTAAAATTCTTTTTACCTGTTTATCTTCTAGGAAAGAAATGTAGAAGCTGTAAGAAATGCAAAAGATGAGCGAGTTAGGGAAATCAGGAATGCAGTGGAGATGATGATTGCACGGTTAGACACACAGTTGAAGAATAAGCTTATAACGCTGATGGGTGAGTGCCTGTGTCTGCTGCTGCAGTCCATGGTGCTTTGAGTCTTCTTGAGATTCCATCTTCGAAGAATAAAGATTGCTGAGTTGTTATAGGCTAAGAAGGAATCTTTAGGTTATAGGAATGCTAGTAATCTACACAGATATATCTTACATGTGTTTAGAGATTATTGGAGAGAGAAATTTTCATAGCTATTTGGGTAAGACCTAATGGCTAATAAAGCGAATTGTTATGTAGTTTTTTTTTTTTTTCTTTCCCAAATCTAATAGAAGTTCCTACTACTAATGTCTCATTTCCTTTCATTGAAGATGATGAACTGACATTTGTAAATATCAGTAGTTCCCCAGCTTTTTCGTAGAGATTTAAATTCTTGGATTTTGGTTTCTAATGACCTCATTTTAAATCTAAATTGTATTTATTACTAGCCTTTTCAGTTATTTACAGATTCTTTCATTCATCTTTTATTGTAGAGCCTAGTATTGAACATAAAATTTAATTAACAGTCTAGTCCAATGTTATATTTGTTTTGTTTGGCTTGATGTTATTTCAGCTTAACCTCGGCTCTTAGTCTGTCTGGTGTTTTGCTGATTCAAAACCAGTTTTGCGGTTTTCATCATAGTCCAACATGAAATACTATATTGTAATAAGATGTGAAGGAAGAATTTTTACTTATTTTCTTGATTCTCCAAGGTTTTAACCTTGCCTTTGTGTCATCCAAAAAACTATTTTATTCTTAAACTATTTTAAGCAAGGGCATCTCTAAAATAACTTCTGTAAGATTACTTATTGTGATGAACTTTAGACTTTTCTATACCAGTTTCTACTGTTGTTTTTTTTTTGTTGTTGTTTTGTTTTTTTTTGTTTTTTGTTTTTTTTTTTTTTAAATTCTCACTCTCATTGGACAGTAATCTCCTTGAGGAAAATGACAGTTGCACAATGATGTTATGGATGTTACTTTTTTTTTATAAAGAATTATTCTATTGAACTTTACTTTTTTTTTATAAAGAATTATTTTATTGAACTTGATTTAATTTACTTATTTATCCACTTCAGTTTGACCAGAGAGGGATCGAGAGAGAAAACAAGCCACCAGGTCCAGGATTCGAGCTGTGGTTGGCCATGTGGGAGTCCAGTGCCCTTACCACCATACCACCTGCTGGCCCCAGTGTTTGTTTATTGATTGATTGATTGATTGATTGATTGATTGGCCAGAGGGCACATGTGCTTGCCAGGGAGAGAGAACACTCCTTGGGGGATGATCATACTGTAATCCCTTCTCCTCCATTTCTTCCTCCTTTTGGACTTTTGTGCATGCACGCACATACTCCTGTGTGTCTTTCAGGCCACTGTGTCTGAAATTTGAACCACATGGTTTTCCATAAGGGATCTGGCTACCTTAACCACCTTGCCACTGGCTAGCCCTATATCACTAATTTCAAGTTGAATTATATATGGGACAAGACTGTGGGAATGTAGTGGCAGTAGAAGTTACCGGTGAAAATATTTGATCCCAGCTAATAATTTATTTTGGCTACTATGTATCTTTTTGTAATCAGAGCTTCTGATTTGGATTTCTAAAATAAAAGTTCTGCATATTAAATGTCTTTATCAAGTAACACTACTCCAAATTAATATAATTTCTGCTAACCTCATAGAATTTGCTTCCAACTCTTTAGACTTTGTGGTTTACAAAGAAAATGGTCTGATTTGGCAAGCATACTTTTTGGTCTTTTAAAAAATCTTGTATTTTAAAAACATTTAAGCAGTTTCTTTTTTCTTTTCTATAATTCTGTAGTAAAAATTCCTATTTTCTCTTTCTGTTTCCAGTTTCTCAGGACTGTTTGCACCTCTGGGGTTTTCTTTTTACAGGTCCTTCTGTGTTCAAAGGAAAAACTTTCTGCTGACACTGAACCTAAATATCTGGCCCATTTACTACAAGCCTTTTTAAAGACATGGTTAAATTTTGGGGAGAAATTATTCCAGAATTATTGCGACCAAATTAAATTTATATTATGGTGTCTTCCAGAAGAAATATACAAATATGGAAAAAGTACATTTTTAACCTAAAGTATATTGTTGTTCATTCCTTGGATCAATTTTATAGATCACAATTGCATTTTGTCTAAAACTAATTAGGGTTGGTTCTCTTTCAAAGCTGTGATATTAGATCCAACCTTTTAAAGCTGTAGAAGAATTCTTAGGGTAGCTACATTGAAGAGTTTATGGTTACTTCAAATGAATTCCTTGTTACTGAATATGTTCAGTGAAATTAATTTCATTCTTAAGCCAATAAGAGCCTGAGTGTAGATACTTTCTTGTTTTTAAACAGGTCAGAAGACATCTCTAACCCAAGAAACGGAGCTGTTGGAATCCTTACTTCAGGAGGTAGAGCACCAGGTGATGAAATGTTAAATGTAATGAAACAGTCTTTATCTGTTTTTTTGGTTTTTGTTTTCCGTTTTTTTCTTTTTGCTATAGGATGTGTGCACTGGCCAGAGAATAGAGGGAAAGCGAGAAATCATACTCTGGGAAGATGACCACACCACAGTTCCTTCCACTCCTTCTCCACTCTCTTCTCAGGATTTTGGGCATGCCTGAATGTCCCCACTGTGATTACTAAGCCAAAGAGTCCAGGAATCGAACTACACAGTTGGCCATATAGGATTTAGTCACCTTAACCTCCATGCCACCCAGTGACCCAGTCTGTATCCTTTTTTGTACATGCACTTTATCCTTCCTCCCTTCCTTTTTGTTGGGGTTTATGAGGTCAAAAGATTTTTGGATTGGGACCAGCTGTTAGTGTAATGGGTATGTCACTGGACTCCCATGTAGCCCACCACGGTTCGAGTCCCGGGCCCGGTGGCTTAAACTCACACTGAGCGCGTGTGCATGCGTGCCCAAGATCCTGAGAGGAGAAAGGAGGAGAAGGGATTACAGTGTAGCCATCACCCCTGGGGGGTAATTTCTCGCTTTCTGTCTGTCTGTCTCTCTCTTTCTCTTTTTGGTGAGCACATGTGCCCTATAGCAAAAACTTCTCCAAAAAAAAAAAAAAAAAAGAGAGAGAGAGAGAGAGATCTTTGGATCTATGTGCTATACAGGGGATTTTTATGAATTAGCTGATTCTTAGATTTTCTCTTCTTCATTTTTGGGAAATAATCTTTATTCTGTTTTGTTAAAATGGAATTATTTTGATGGAACAACCCATAGAATTCTAAATCTAGAGAGATTAAGATCTTGTGTTTTGACTAAAGTAGTGACTTTGAGATAGAATTTAATTGCTAGTTATTTATGTGTAGGGGTTCTTCTAAAATTCAGCTTTTTTATTTGTAGAGTAAAGGTCTATTAAGCATCAAATAGATAACAGGCCTTGTTTTGGGTGTTGGACATATAGCAAATAGCACATAACAATATAGCAAAAATTCTATTCTCATGGAGTTTATATTTTAAATTAGTGATGAGTAAATATAAAGCTGGTGGTGACTGAGAGAATAAAATATATAGTATTGCATAAATATTTGATAGATTCACTTGTCTTGAGTTTCTTTTTAGAACTCTTGAATTTCTCTCTGTGCCTCATGTACAGATGTCTCCTGAGATTGTTCTATTTAGTCATCCTTGGGATTTCCTTTTTTTGGGGTTGAATCCTGTTTTCTGATTTCCCTCACTTCCACTCTCTTGGTTTACTCATTTATTTTGGTATTACACTTTGGTCAGCAGCTTTCTAGGAATGGTAATCACAATAAAATCTTCTTGATAGTATGTCTAAAAAAATATATATATATACTTTAGATATACACTTGATTGGCTGCTCAGCTATTAGAGTTCAATGGATATTGAATATTCAATGCATAGATAATTACTAAATATTCTCATTTTATCTTTAGTCCTCCTTTTCTTTTTTTTTTTTTTCCTTAAATTTGATTTCTGCCCTGAGAGAGAAGACCCTCTCTCCCAAAGGGTCTTCATACCACAATCCCCCTTAGCCTTAGCCAGCTGGGATCATGGGCATACATATGCATGTGTCCATTGTGTGCAGGGAGGCCTTGGGATATGAACTCAGGACCCTCCCTTGTGGCATCAGCATCACAGAGTATTATGTTACTGCTGCACCACCATGGCTGGCCTCCCATTCTTTTTTGGGAGTAGCTATTTAAATTCAGGAGATCACAACTGAGAGTATAAATTGTTAAAATACCTGCCATAGCTAAGGGGTGTTTGGAAGGAAGTTTTTAGTCTAAAATGTAACTTATTTTTTTTAAAAAGTTTATGAATAAGTGAGTTAAATCTTCAAGTTAAAAATCCAGAAAAGGGAGGCTGGTTGGTGGCATGCTGGTTAAAGGCACTGGATTCCTACATGGCCAACAGTTCAAGCCCCAGACCTGGCAGCTTTGCTTTCTTGCTTTCCCTTTCTCTCTTCTTTGGTCAAATTAAAAGATAATAATAACAAATGGAATTAAATAAATAAATAATTCAAGACCAGCAGATGGTGTGGTGGTTAAAGGCGCTGGACTCCCATGTGATCGACTGTGGTTCGAGTCCCGGATGCGGTGGTTTGTTTTCTCATTCCTTCTGTCTCTCACTCTGTCCCTCTCTGGTCAAATTAAAAAATGAATAAATAAAATTAAACAAATTAATTCTTTAAAATAAATAAGTAATTTTTAAAAAATCCAGAAAAGGATCAGGCAGTACCACAATGGTAATGCAAGTAGACCCCCGGGGTAAGGTCCCTGGTTCAAGTGGAGCCTCCCTGTGCTTACTGGGAGTCCACATGCATTCTTATGAGCCAGGCTTCTGAGGATGGGTATCTACTGTAGCATGCGGACCCTGTGGAGGGCCCTTATCTCCCTGTTTCTGTTTCACTGTCCCTTGTGGAAGATATAAACAAGTAAATTTTTAAAAAATTCATTAAAAGGAGCGGTATTGTAGAAACATAAAATGGCAATACATCACGAAGATAGTCATGATGTTTTGAACATCATGAATAAATAAGAGTACCTCATAGAGTTGAGAACAAATATCCAGTGTGTGATTTTGGAAAAAATGAGTTAAATAGACAATACCCTAGAAAGGTACATCAAGAAAAATGAGGTGTCTAAAAGTATATCAGAAAGAAAAACTAGGATATGATTACAAATATAGTAGAAATTCAAAGGATAAAAATAATATTTGAAATACTTACATAGTGCTTACTATATTCCAGGCACTGTTGTCAAAGCATTACAAATAGGAGCAACTTTATTCAAATGCAATCTATATGAAGATAATTTTTAGAAATTATAATTACCATCTGTGATATAAGAATATAATTTAGGGACCAGCAGATGGTATAGTGGCTACGTACTAGACTCCCACATAGTCAACCATGGTTTGAGTCCCAGACGAGTGGTTTAAAACTCACACTGGACGAATGTACATGCATGCCCAAGATCCCAAGAGGAGAATGGAGGAGAAGGAAATGCAGTGTGGCCATCCCCCTTGGAGGGCGATTTCTCACTTTCTCTCTGTCTCTCCAGCGAGAGACATGCCCTGTAGCAAAAATCTCTCTCTAAAATAAATATATATAGACTGGCAGATGGTGTGGTGGTTAAAGTGCTGGGCTCCCACATGGGTGACTGCAGTTCAAGTCTCAGACCTGGTGACTTGTTTTCTCACTTTCCTTTTCTCTGACTCTCTGTAGTAAAATTTAAAATAATAATAATGAATAAAATTAAATATATATATATATAAAGAGCCAGTTCCATAGTACAGAGGTTAAGTGCTGTGTAAAGAATGGTGAATTCCACTTGGCTGGCCTCAGTTTGCATCATAGCACAGGTGGCTTGGAGGGCAGGCCAGTGCATATATGCATGCATGCCCAAGTTTCTAATGTTATGGAGAAATGGGGGAAGAGCATGACAGCGTGACGTGGCTATTGGAGGGTCCTTTCTCTTGCCTCCTCTCTCTGATAAGTGCATGCAACCACTGGCAATGAATAAAACATAGATTAAAAATTTTTTTTTAAGAATTTATTTAATTTTGGGACCAGTGGATGCCATAATAGTTACTCTGCTGGACTTCCATGTAGTTGACTGCAGTTCAAGTCCCAGATGCAATGGGTTAAAACTCACACCAGGTGCATGTACGTGCATGCCCAAACTCCTGAGAGGAGAATGGAGGAGAAGGGATTGTGGCATGACCATCTCCCCTTGGGGGTGATTTTCTCACTTTCTGTCTCTGTCTTCCCGGTAAGCACACATGCCCTATAGCATAAATCTCTCTCTCTCTCAAAAAAATAAAAGAATTTAATTTATCATTATATATGCTTTTTAATTTCATACAGGCACTTACCAGAGAAAGAGAGAAGGAAAGTAAGGAAGCAAGCCTCAAGATCCAGGATTAGAACCATGGTTCACATGTGGGAATCCAGCACCCTGACCACCATGCCACCTGCTGGCCCCTAAAATTTTTTTTAAAAAGAGGCTTTGTAAAAGATATAATTTAAACCAATAAACATTATTAAGTAAATTGTATTGGTGAATTTATTGGACAAATCACTTGTCCAAAAGTCATCAAATCTAGACTAATGGAAATTTTTTTTAAACCAGATCTTTAAATATCTGTGGCTTGTTCTAAGTAGCTTTTTCTTAAAGGATACAAAAATTACACACGCTAACATTCTTTGAGACTAATGTAACATTAACAACCAGTCAGCATGAGAACAGTATAGGAATAGAAAACTGAAGATGAATTTTATTGTGAACATAAATGCAAGCATTTAAAATGATATACTGAGAAGTAAAAGGATATTTATCAAAATGAAACAAGAACAAATAGGGTTAATCAATGTGTCAATACCCAAAACTTAAACGTTTTGAGTTTTGAGTTTTTAAAATTTATTTATTTTGTTCTATGAGAGAGAGATACAGGGATGGTGACAGACAAGCACTTCAACAGGAACTTTATGCTGCCATCTACCCAGTCTTAATTGTCCTGGATCACTGGCACATATGTGTGCACCTGGCAGGCTCAGGGAGGTCTCAGGAACTGAGGATTTTTCCCATATGGGTGCAGTTGTGTTACCACTGCACCGCCATCTGCCCCTAGTTACAGATCTTAATTGACTTTATTTGCAATTTTAGAATTGGGCAACACTACATTCCATAAAATAGAACAAATGTTCCAAGGAGTTGAGCAGACAAGGGCTGAAGAAAGCATAAACAAATAAAAAACAGATTGGTCCTTCTGAAGTTTTTTTTTTTTTTTTTTTTTTAAGTTGGGAACAGGAAGACAGAGCAATAGGAAAATAACAGTAATAACAGTAGTTAACTTGAGGTTGTTTCTTCTATATAGGGATTAAAATAGAGAGAAATATGGGCTAGCAGGTAGTGTGGAGGTTAAGGCAGCTGGATTTCACATGGCTGACTGTGTGGTTCAAATCCCAGACCTGGTGGCTTGGAAACATGATGGGTGTGTGTGCATGCCCAAAATTCCAAGAGCAGAATGGAGAGGGGATTGTTGTATAACCATCTCCCCGGGGGGTGATTTCTTACTTTCTCTTTGCCTCTCTCTGGCGAGCATGTGCACCCTCTAGCAAACTAAAAAAATAAATAAAACAGACAGAAATTCATTATTATGCTGGTTGGAACTGGCCTGTTTAGGGAACTAGGCAGTTATTCTTGATTTCTCAGAAGGTCAGATAACAACTTAATTTTGGCTTGGTGGCATAGAGATATGAGTGACCCCATTTTGTTTTTCAGTCTGATCTGTTTTGGCCTATTGTAGGACAGTAGTCCAAAACTATTTAGTAAGAGGGATGAATGATTGTTTTACTTTGGAAAAATTTTTTCTTGATTGTAGTGGATCAAGAAAACTAGAGCTGGAAAGCTAGACTGTGGTGTGGTGGTCCAAGTACATACTGGACCACATGGGCAAGGTCCTTGGTTTGCATGCTGGGATACCTGAGCACACTTTGGTGAAACCAGCCTGTGATTTTGGCCAGCTGAGAGTGGGAGTAGATCAAGGTGTGAGGATCCTGTTTCGGGTACCTGTTTTCTCTCTCATTGAGAAAATAAACTTTAAGGAGAAAATACACGCACTGTTATTTTAAAAATAACCTACCTTAAAAATCATACTCAAGAGGCCAACCATTGGTGTGGTGGTGAAGTCATCTGGATCCCACATAGCCAACAGCCCAGTATAATTCCCAGACCTCGTGTCTTGAAAATATGCTGGGCGCATGTCGTGCATTCCCAAAATTCCAAGAGGAAAATGGAAAGGAAAGGATTGCGATGTGGCCTACCTCCTAGGCAGTGGCCTTAACCATTACACTATTGGCTGGTTTCATCTCTGTATCTCTCTTATATCTCCAAATAGAGTGTCAAAAACATCATGGAAGAGGGACTAGCAGATGGCATAGCTGGACTCCCACATAGTCGACCACATTTCAAGTCCTGGTCCTGGTAGCTTAAAACTCACACCGGGCACATGAGCATGCACGCCGAAAATCACGAGAAGAGAAGGGAGGAGAAGGGATTGTGACATGGCCATCCTCCCTACCTCTGCCCTGAGATTTCTTGCATTTTGTCTGTCTCACTCTGTCTCTCTAATAAGTGCATTGTCCTATAGCAAAAATCTCTCAAAAAAAAAATATCATAGAAGAATGGAATTAAAGTACATTATTGTAGTTCAAAAATTTTTTTGGGGAACCAGCAGTTAGCGTAATGGCTATGTCGCTGGACTCCCATGTAGTCGACCGCGGTTCGCGTCCCGGACCCAGTGACTTAAACTCACGTCGGGCACGTGTGCATGCGTGCCTAAGATCCCTTTTTTTTTTTTTTGAGAGGTTTTTCGCTGTAGGGCGTGTGCGCTCGCCAGACAGACAGAGACAGACAGAAAGCGAGAAATCACCCCCCAGGGGGGATGGCCAGGCCGCAATCCCTTCTCCTCCATTCTCCTCTTGGGCATCTTGGGCATGCACGTACACGCGTCCAACGTGAGTTTAAGCCACCGGGTCTGGGAAATGTTTGCTGAATTCATATGGGATAAGATTTGTATGTATATATGTTACACCTTGACATTTCTGTTACCTAGAATACAATCTAAGAAAAACTTGCTTTTAAAAGGCTTTTGACCTGCAGGATTTGTTTATATATATATACCCTTCTCCTCCAGTCTCCTCTCGGGATCTTGGGCACGCATGCACACACGTACGGCGTGATTTTTAAGCCACTGGGTCCAGGATGCGAACCGCGGTTGACTACATAGGAGTCCAGCGACATAGCCATCACTCTAACTGCTGGTCCCTGTTCATTAATATATTAAGTTGTTGGAAAAGTCATGATGTATTTTTTCTCTGTTTTTCTATGCAAAAATGTGCCATGACTTTTCCAAAAGTCTAATACATAGTAGTTTCACAAAACTAGTATGAAAATATGTTTGTAGTTGCTTAAAATTTGACTTATGGTAAAATCTGAGAGAAAAAACGCATTAAAATCAAGTCCACTTATTTAGTGTCTTTATTGGTTAGGATAGAAATAAACCTTGGTCACTTGTAAATTTTTTACATTTTTTTTTAATTGGCAGAGGGCATGTATGCTTGCCAGAGAGAGACAGAGACAGAGGGAGAAAGCATCCTCAAATGGGGCATAGTCGTAGTGTAATCAATCCCTTCCCAGAGCCAGGATTTGAGCTGTGGTTAGCCCGTGGGATTCACCTCCTAAGGGAGGAGCTACTAGGATATGGGGCTAGCCTGTTTGTAAATTCTTAATTCTTAAACCCACCTTTAGTCATTTTATTTTTCTTTATCTCGTTTTTTTCAGTATATAACCAGAATAATTTCTAATTTTCTTCTTTATTGAGAATCTTTAGGTACCAGTGAATGATTACTTTTTTTGGTGAGATAATTTTTTCCACACACAGCTGCGGTCCTGTAGTAAGAGTGAGTTGATATCTAAGAGCTCAGAGATCCTCATGATGTTTCAGCAAGTCCATCGAAAGCCCATGGCATCCTTTGTTACCACTCCTGTTCCACCAGACTTTACCAGGTATGATGCAATTTTTAAACTTCATTTTCATTTGAAGTTTATGTACAAATGAAAATACTGTTTTAAAAGAAGTGGTTTTTCTTAACTCCATCTCTGTTTAATGTGCTGTCTACAATGGTATAGTCTTATGAGCTATATTTTAAGTATATAAATCTAGTCTAAAAATAAAACTGGTTGGGGGGGTCAGCAGATGGCATAATGGTTACTTTGCTTAACTTCCCATGTAGTCAACCATGGTTCAAGTCCCAGACCCGATGGCTTAAAGCTCGTGCTGGATACATGTGTGTGTATGCCCAGAATCCTGAGAGGAGAATAGAGGAGGAGGGATCGTGGCATGACCATCCCTCTTGAGGCTTGATTTCTCGCTTTCTGTCTGTCTCTGTTGAGTGCACATGCCCTATAACAAAAATCTCTGGAAACAAAAAGAAAAGTCTGGTTAGGGGAGCAGGTGGCCTGGTGGTTAAGGTGCTAGATCCCACATGGCTAAAGCTCTGAGGTTCAAATCCCAGACCTGGTGGCTTAAAAATCAGCTGGGTGTGTGTGCATGCATGCCCAAAATCCTGAGAGGAAAATGCAGAAGAGATTGTGCTCAGGCCATCTATCTGGAGGGTAATTTCTCACTTTCCCCCTCCTTCTGTCTCTTTCTGTCTCTGGTGAGTGCATGCACCCTATGGCAAAAATCTAAGGGAAGAAAAAAATGTCTGGTGGACTTACACACACTTTTAAATCTAAAGAGAAAATGATAGTGAGTTAGGATTGATTCCCTGCCCCCAGCTCTATCTTCAGTAGCTAGAAAAAAATTATTGATGCCATTCATCCTATCAGCATCTGTTTATTTTTTTACTTACCTTTTGAATTATATCTTATAAAGCAAAACTTAGAAACAAATGAAATGCCAGAGTCTTTGTAAGTGACACAGTGTTATTTCTAGATCCTAGAAGATTTTAGGAACTAGGCTGGTAGGTGGTACTCTGTTGAGTGCTGGACTCTCACATGGCTGACTGTGGTTCAAGTCCTGGACCTGGTGACTCGTTTTCTCACTTTCTCTCTCTCACTCTGTCCCTCTCTGGCCAAATTAAAACAAACAAACAAACAAACAAACAAATAAATAAATAAATAAGTAAAAGTTAAATAAAGTAATTCTTTAAAAAAAACAAATAGGAGCAAACATTCATTGTGAAAGTTGCCTATGTATTTTTTTAGTTTTTATCTTGAGCTGAATCTTAGAATTCTTCTAAATAGCATATTCTTCCAAGTATATTTAGAATTATACTATTGTATTAGGGTGGTGGTTCTCAGTACTCAGCTAAGAATATATTGGACTCAGTTGGGATTCTGTTGAAAATGATCAGGCCAAATGTCTGACCTGCCCCTAGAGGCGTTGCAGATGTGGCTGCTGTGTCACAGCTGCGTCAGTAGTGGGCAGAGAGCAAGAGGCTATGTCTACGCTCAGTGTTCTGACTCGTGAACATTTGAATGATTAGTAGCCTCACACTTAAAAAAAAAATGTAACTAGACTGAAATTTTTCTTTTCAAAATTTGCCTTTTTATTGTCCATGAAAACAAACAAACAAACAAACAAAACTCCCAAATGTCTGGATATATCAGCTTGCCTGGACTACCAAAACAAAATACCACAGACTTGATGGCTAAATGAGAAATTAATTTTCTTGCAGTCTGTAGGAAAGTCCAATATCAAGATGCCACACAGTTCAGTTTCTCATGAGGCTTGTTAGCTTTTGCAGATAGCTGCCTTCCTGCTGTGTCCTCGTATGACCTTTTCTGTGTTCATGCAAGGAGAGAGATCAGTCTCTGGTGTGTCTTCCTCTTGTTATGATGACATTGGCCTTATTCAATTAGGGCCCTACCCTCATAGTCTCATTTAACCTTAATTACTTCCTTAAAGACCCTGTCTCCAAATACAGTGATACTGTGGGCTAGGACTTCAAAATGGAAATTTTAGGAGATACAATCTAGTCCGCAACATTAGGTACAGATGGGCATTTGTTCATTCTTTTTAAATATTCTTGGCTTATTCTGGGACCAGCAAATGGTGTAATGGCTACATCACTGGACTCCCATGTGGTTTGAGTCCTGGACCTGATGGCTCAAACTCACACCGGGCGTGTGTGGATGCATGCCCAAGATCCCAAGAGGAGAATGGAGGAGAAGGGATTGTGGCATGGCCATCCTCCTGGGGGGTGATTTCTCACTTTCTGTCTCTCTGTCTCTGTCTTTCTGGTGAACGCATGTGCCCTATAGCAAAAACCTCCCTTTCTCCTCCCCCCAAAAAAAAAAAATCCTTGGCTTATTCTTAAAATGAGAGATGGACCCAGCTGTGGTGGTGCTTACTGATAACATTCTGTGCTCAGAAATCTTGGACCACGTGTTATGTCCAGGTTCAATTTTTTTCAGTCCAACCTGAAGGCAGATGCAGGTGTGCACACCTGTAATCCCAGCAGCTGGAGAGGCTAACATAGAAAGATCATGAATTCAAGGCTGGCCTGGGCATCATTGCAATATTTTTTGTAAAATAAGAGCCAGTTGCTATGACTCATGCCTATGGCTTTGGCTGGGAGGCTAAGGCATGACATGGTGAGATCCTGTCAGAATTTTCATTTTGAGGGACCAGCAGATGACGTAATGGTTATGTTGCTCGACTCCCATGTAGTTGACCATGGTGTGAGTCCTGGACCTGGTAGCTTAAACTCATGCCAAGCGCATGTGCGTGTATGCGTATGCAAGATCCTGAGAGGAGAATGGAAGAGAAGGGATTGCATTGGCGCCATCTCTTGGGTGATTTCTCGCTTTCTGCCTGTCTGGTGAGCACATGTGCCCTATAGCAAAAACATGTCTTCAAAAAAAAAAAAATTCCTATTTTGATACCACTTTCAGTGGTTCATCAGGCAGGTAATAATGCTTCCCAGTCTGATAATTTAGCAGCTTCCTCTATGGGTGAATATCACCTTAAGGCACCTCATCTCTTTTTTTTCCCCTTTTAAATTATTTATTTATTCTATTTGTTTGTTACCATTATTTTTAATTTGACCAGAAAGAGAGAGAGAGAGAAAGGGATAGTGAGAAAGCAAGCCACCAGCTCTGGGACTCGAATTGCAGCCGGCCATGTGGGAATACAGTGTCTTTAACCACCATGCCACCTGCTGGCCCCTTCTCATCTCTTTAGTAATGTTCATTTGAAATTATGGCTTTTAACTGAATCCTAATTTTTATTAGAAACTCAGCTTATTAGTTGCAGTATACAAGAAACAGATGCTTACTGATACATTGATCAGCAAAGAAAAGTTGGGCAAATAAGTACCAGCATGCATTGATATTAAGTTATAGATTATAGCAGTGCAGAGCAATGCTATTTCTAAGCTCTGAGGCCATTGGACCAGGTTGACTTTAGTTCCATCAGCTAATGATTGGTGATGGAACCACAAAAAAGAAAAGGTCCTTAAAATCAATGATATATTATTTGTTAAAAACTACATGCCCAGCACTATTGTAAGTCCTGTTTAGGAGACCCAGAAAAGAAACTAAAAATCTTACTGAGTAAATATTCCACATTAAACAGTAGAATTGTTTATTAAGATCTAATATTTAAGGCCAGCAGATGGCATAGCAGTTACTTAGCCTGACTTCCACATGGCTGACCATGGTTCAAGTCCTAGACCTGGTGGCTTGAAACAGGCTTGGTGTGTGTGCATGCCTGCCCAAGGTCCCAGGAGGAGAATGGGAAAGGGAGTGTGGCGTGGCCATCCCCCTAGAGGATGATATCTCACTTTCCCTCTCAGTGGCTCTGTCTCTCTCTCTAGTGAGTACACACACCCTAGAGCAAATTCTCTTTTAAAAGAAATCTAATATTTAGTAGTTAAAGATTATCTCACGTCTTAAATTTTGAAATGAAGTCAGATTAGAGACAACTATGGCCAAGACTCTAACCTAGGAAGAAATTGAGAAAGATTTTGAAAAATACATGGGATTTTGTTAGGCAGATAGGAATGGGGTAGGTATGCATTAAAGTATGGATGTGATAATAGCTGGTGTATTTGGGAAACAGCAAAGAAATCATTTCAACCAGAATTTGACAGCTTATTTTTTGGTGGAGCATAGTAGTAAGTAAAACTATGTAGGTGTCCTCAGGGAGAACTTAGAAGATAGAATAGTATATAACTCTCAGTCCGCTGGGAATTTTTAATTTCTGGGATGTCAAATTGGGAAAGAGAATCAGTTTTAAAGTAGCTCACCAGTCTATTTCCTTAAAATATAAATGGATGCTCGAGATTCTTTACTTGCCTTTGTTCCTGAAGGGGTAATGTCACTGGTCTAAAGATTTGCAGATCAGGGCCAGCCAATGGCATGGTTGTTAAGGTGGCTGGAGTCCACATAGCTGACTGTGCGGTTGAGTCTGAGACCTGGCAGTTTGAGAAACACGCTGGGCATGTGTGTGTGCATGCCCAGGACCCCAGGAGGAGAGTGAAGAAGAGATTGCAGGTTGGCCAACTCTTTTATGGGGTGATTTCTTTCTCTCTCTCTAGCAAGTGCATGTACCTTATAGCAAACTAAAAGAAAAAAAGAAAAAAGTTATAGCTTAGTGACCTGCAGATTGCTGGACTAGAGATGGTTGAGGTCAGTTTCCCACATTCTGTGACCATCATGAGTTGAATCTGGTCATCATAAAGAGTAGTCTATACTTATGAGAGAGGAGGAGAAATAAAGAAAACTATGGGAAGATAAAGTAGTGCTTGATCTGCAAGCATAGAATAGTGATATCAGTAAGTTTGAAGATATCTCTGAATGAGTGAGCATAATAGAGATGTGTTAAAATAGTTAAGAGTGGAGCTGTCCCCATAGCCTGGTGTTTAAGGGAACTGGACCCCTCATGACTAGCCACTGCTTTGAGAACTTGAAAAAAGCACAGTGTGTGTGCACCCAAAATTCTGACAGGATAGAGAGGTAGAGGAAAAGGGGTTGTGGTATGACCATGTCCCATTGGGGAAGGGGTGCTTTTTCCCTCTCCCTTTCTCGTGAGTGAGCACATGTATTTCCCCTCTGGGAAAAAAAAAAAAAAAAAAGGATGGTGGAATTAAGATGGCTTAGCAGTTTCTGTAGTCTTATGTGTATATATGTAAAAGAATAAAAAATTGAGCAAATGTTTTCGTCTCTATAATCTACCAGCAGATATTTATAATTATTAATTCATTCAATGAATATTTGCCAGATACATTTCAATTATGTGCTGTGTGATAGCAGTAAGTATAAGAGCTCTTGTGATATATGATATGTGATTTAGTGAGAAAGATGGATAATCGAAGCAGTAATGGAATGTGAAGACTAGTGATAGAGTGATATGCATCTTGCTTAATGCTGTCCCATAGCACTAATCTGTTATGCTATTTGTGTTCAGAAAAAAAGTACATATGTACTGTGCTCTACGGTTAGTCTGTTTTCTGTGCTCTCAATGTAATAATATTTTCTCAGCAAGTGAGTGAGAACTAAGGCAAGGCCTCCTGGTAGTTAGCTTTAGCAGCCAATGCTCCTTAACCCGTCAGCTTTCTGTCTCAGTACTCTAAGTCAAACATGGTATCTCCTGCTGTTTAATTTATATTTGGTGAACTCTTTTGACCAATCATGATAGTAAAATCTGATAGTAACAGTCTGGACTTAGATCAGAAACAACAAGCATACTGACAAGAATATATGGAAGAAAGTGTATGCAAATTGGTATGCAACGGGGAATTCATTGACGTTTTTGGACATTATAAAGGATGTTCTAAATTTGGTGAGAGAACTAACCAACAGATGGATTGGTAGCAGTTTTACGAAATTAGTGAAAAGCATGTCTGACACTACTTGACCAAATTTGAAGGCTATTCTGGGAAGAGTCCCTTAGAGCTCTAATTAGATTTGAGGTTCCAGGAAGGCTTCTAATCACTCAGTTGCATCAGTCCTGCTCCCTGGGGCATGTATATTGAGCGTGTGAACAGGAGACCTCAGAGCAGACCTCCAAAGGTATATTATAGTTCTTATGCAACAAAAAGATCTGGGGGTAAGGAATGAGAGTCATCTAAGAAAAAGTAACAACTGACTGTGATACCATCAGAGTGCTTGGCACAGTCAGGATGAATAGTAGCTATATATATTTAATAACTGCAGGGCATTTTTACTGTGAAAAGATGTGGCATGTTTAGTTATATATACTTACCATAAGGTAAAAATTTATTCTTTCTTTTACCTGGACTGTGTTTCCATATGGCAAACCACTAATTTCTTTAGACATATCACAGCGTGACATTGCTATGGACATATCTTATATCTTGTTTTGGTAACATCCAAAATATTGATGAGTTGGATTTTAGAAAATACATCTGCATTATAGTGAAATAGTTTGCAGTTTATTGTTTTGGCGAGTTTGCAACTTTCTTGAATTTGTTACATGGTGTTACAACACTGTATGATAGAGACCATATTATAAATGGTGTTTTAATGATTTTTGAAGGGTTCTAAGGTCAGTGCCACAAACCGTCCATATGATCTGAAGGTACTTAACAACAAAATGAGTTATCCTTCAGCTTAGCTCCTGTGGTTGTGGTTCAGTTCTCTTTGGAGAAGACTGTATAGAACTAAAGTTGCTTGCGGTGATCTTGCTTTGCCAGAAAAATAATGTGGTAATCCTAACCCTGGTGGCTTGAAACTCAGCTGGGTGCGTGTGCATCCATGTCCAGAAATACTGGGAAGAGAGTGGAGGAGAAGGGATTATGACCTGGCTGTCCTACGTGGGGAGTGATTTCTCACTTTCCCTCTGTTTCACCACCACCACCACCACTGCATGTGCATGTCCCCTAAGGCAAAAAGCTCATAATAAAATGAAAAGAAAGAGACTTTGGGCACACATGTGCCTGGTGTTTTTTTTTTTTTAAGCACTAGGGCCAGGGCTCAAACTGCTCCGTCATTCACATGAGATCCAATTCCTTTAATCACTAGGACACAGGGCCAGCTCTCTTTTAGCCCTCTTTTTATTTTATTTATTTTAAAAGGAATTTTTGCTTTAGTGCGTGTGTGCTCGTTGGAGGGACAGAGAAAGACAGAAAGTAAGAAATCACCCCCCCGAGGGAGATGGCCATTGCCACAATCTCTTATTCTCCAGTCTCCTCTCAGGATCTTGAGCACGCATGCACACGTGCCCGATATGAGTTTTAAGTGTCCAGAACTCGAACCATGGTCAACTACGTGGGAGTCCAGTGACATAACCATTGTGCCATCTGCTGGTCTCAGCCCTCCTTTTCTTTTTCTTTTCTTTCTCTCTTTTTTTTTTTGTTTTTTTGTTTTTTTGAGAGTTTTTTGCTATAGGGCGCGTGCGCTCGCCAGACAGACAGAGAGACAGAAAGCGAGAAATCACCCTCCAGAGGGGATGGCCACGCCACAATCTCTTCTCCTCCATTCTCCTCTCGGGATCTTGGGCACGCAAGCACATGCGCCCAGTGTGAGTTTAAGCCACCTGGTCCGAGATGCGAACCACGGTCGACTACGTGGGAGTCCAGCGACATAGCCATTACGCTAACTGCTGGTCCCAATCCTCCTTTTCTTTTTAAAGCCTCTTTGTATCTGTCTAATAATTCACATTCCCAGCCTAAGCATGAGTTTCCTATTTTTTTCCTATTTCCTTGAGTACTTTTTAAATCTCTTGTGCTTATTTATTATACTTACTTTATAAATTGCCTTTCAAAAAATAACTATTTTATAAAGTATTTATTATCTTCATTTAATTGTAAACTTTTGATGATTTTATGAATTAATTTGATTTAATGTTATATTTCATAAGGACTTAAATTATTTCTTAGGGACTTAGTTTAATAAAGTTTTCAAGATATATTGAAGGACTTATTTTTTTTTAACAAGTGAAATTTGTAACTTACATAAGCTAAATAATTTGTCCTTTGCTTTTTTTTTTTTTAGTGAATTAGTACCATCTTACGATTCAGCTACTTTTGTTTTAGAGAATTTTAGGTAAGTGTTTGACAACTCTGGTTTTTTGTGTGTATTCATGAGGAAGAGGTAGGAGGGGTATCATTTCTTACGGTAGACATCCAGTGAACTGTGTTACTCACTTAAGTATTCTTTCCCATTAGAAACATAGAGGTCATGGGGCCAGCAGGTGGCGTGGTGGTTAAGGTGCTGGACACTTCCAAACGGCCGACCATGGTTGAGTCCCAGACCTGGTGACTTGCTTTCTCACTTTCCCTCTCTCTCTTTCTTTGTCTCTCTCTGGTCAAATTAAAATAAGTGAATGAATAAATAAAATTAAATAAGTAATTCTTTTTTTTTTTTTTTTTTTAAAGAGAGAAGCATAGAGGTCATTTGTCTAGATTGCATTATGTCTTCATGACTAATTACTTTCTAGCAGGACTATATTGCTTCTCCAGCCTAAGAAAAGGAATAATTTTAAGTAAGAGGATTCATTTGGCACGTGACAGATAGTGGTTAACAGGCCATTTTTGTAAGAAATTTAAAGACTGTGTAAGTTACGTGTTAATTTTGTTAGTCTTCCTGCTTTTTCCCTAACATTAGAAGCAAAGATCTTAAAATATGAAGGTTCTTGTCTTCAAGGGCAGCATGGAGATGAGAACTAAGATCTCGGGGATGGGTATTCTCAAATAGGCAATAACCATCAAAATGAGACCACACCTAGAGAATTTATACCCCTTCCCGTTTAATTTTTTTCTTCTAAGAGATATACACACATAGACATATAGACACCCCCAGTGGGGTCGTCGTGCTACCACCCACCAGCCCCAGGCAGCCCAGATTATGGGCACGCATGCACATATCCCTGGCATATTCAGAGAAACCTAAGGAAGTGAACCCAGGATCTTCCAAGTGTGTTGAGCATTGCAAAATGTTGCTTTACTGCTGTGCCACTCTGGCTGGCCCATAATTTGTCTTATAAGGTAATTTTGTGGCTAAAACCTAAGCTCTCTGAGGGTTTCCTGGTAAGTATTGAAGTTTAGCACATGTTCTTATCTTTTTTTCATATTACAAGATAATTATACTACAGGGAAGTGAGGAAAAAATATATTGTGGGCTTTTTTTTTTTAGTGGCAAAAGACTACTTGTTGAAAGTAATTGAATTTAGGGTATCTTGTGATACTTTCCTTTTTCTTTAAATGTCACAGTCTCAAGTGTTTTTTTTTTTTTTCCTTTAAATTCGCACTGAAGAGATATGATAAATTTTCTTATATATACATATATCTAAACTTACACAGTGAGATTTGCCCCCATAAATCTGTTCAATTCCTTTTTCTGTGAATGAGAGTCAGAGAGATTGTTCTAACAGAGTCCCAAGCTATCCTCTATCCCCACTTCAGCCAGCCCTGGATCATGGGGACATGCATGTCTGCCATAACCAGGAGGTATCTGGACAAGAGATGGAAATCTTCCCATGAGTTAACCTTACAGTGCCCCTCTAGTAGAATCTTGACAAATAAGTGGATGTTTTTTGTTTCTTCCTGTTGCCCTTTCACAACAGTTTTAATGTTGAGATTTGTTTTTTTTTCCTTTAGTACTTTGCGCCAGAGAGCAGATCCTGTGTATAGTCCACCTCTTCAAGTTTCAGGACTTTGCTGGAGATTAAAAGTTTACCCAGTAAGTTTTTCATATTTCTAATAAAATTTGAAAGCAAAGTCTTTCTTTCAGAGATAGATCTTAAACTCCACTACTTCTAAGTGGAGTTAGGAAATTATAGTGACAATTTGATGTTTCTTTATGGGCTGTGTTATATAATCCATGAAGAAAATGAGGTCAGTATGAATATTGATTTTTTTTGTTGTTGTTTATTTGTTTTAGAGAGATTTTTTGCTACAGGGCACGTGTGCTTGCTGGAGAGACTGAGAGAGACAGAGACAGAAAGTGAAAAATCACCCCCCAGGGAGATGGCCAGGCTGCAATCTCTTCTCCTTTATTCTCCTCTTGAGATTTTGAGCACACATGCATGCATTTGGTGTGAGTTTAAGCCTCAAGGTCTGGGACTCAAACCTCTGTCAACTACATGGGAATCCATCACTACCACACCACCTGTCAGCCCCTATAGAAAGAAACTCGAGGACATGGTTAAAATTTTATTTTAGGGCCAGTAGATGGTGTGTTGGTTAAGGTGCTAGACTCCCACATGGCTGAAAGCAGTTTGAGTTCCAGACCTGGTGGCTTGCTTTCTCGTTTTACCTCTCCGTCTCTATCTCTATCTGGTCAAAATAAAATATATTAATAAGTAAAATTAAATAAATAATTATTAATTTTTTTTCTTTTAAAATTCCTTTTAAGGGCCAGCCCCATAGCCTAGTAGTTAAGGGAACCATATCCCACATGGCAGACTGAGGTTTAAATCCCAGTCCTGAAGGGTTGGGGGCGGGAATCTCTTCTCCATTTTTTTGTCCTGTTGGGATTTGGGGCACACATGCACATGTGCCTGGCATGTTTTTCAAGTCACTGGGGCCAGGGTTTGAACAGACAGAGAAAGCACCCTCTAGTGGGGCATGGCCACACTACAGTCCTTTATTGCTTTTCTATTTTTTTTGAGAGATTTTTACTATAGGGTGCGTGTGCTCACCAGAGAGAAAGTGAGAAATCACCCCTCCCAGGGGGGATGGCCGTGCCACAATCCCTTTCTCCTCCATTCTCCTTTTAGGATCTTGGGCACACACACACACATGCCTGGTGTGAGTTTTTAAGCCACCGGGTCCCGGACTCTAACCACAGTCGACTGCGTGGGAGTCCAGTGACATAGCCATTGCGCCAACTGCTGGTCCCACAATCCTTTTTTTTATGTATTTCTCCTTTCCATCAAGATTTTGGGCACATATATATGTACCTGGTTTTCGGTTGATTGGTTGGTTTAAATGATTGTGTCATAGGGCATGTGTGCTTGTCTCGCCCAGAAGAGGGAATATAAGTAATGGGGTTGGCCACACTGCAATCCCTCCTTCTCTCAGAATTTTGGGCATGCATGTACACTTGCCAAGTGTGATTTTAAAGTCCGTGGGTCTCAAGCTTGAACCGCAGTCAGCCATGTGTGAGACCAGCATCTTGACCACCATGCCACCTGCTGGCTCCATTACCTGGCATGTTTTTAAGCTGCCTATGTAAGGACCCAAAATGCAGCCATCTGGTTCCCTTAACCACTTTTCTGAGGGACTGGCTCAGTAGACTTTTGTTTCCTTTTTAGAGCAGTTTACGTTAGAAGCAAAATTGAGCAGGAAGTACAGAGTTTCCATATATCCCCTTAACCTGTACATGCATAGCCCCCCTCACTATCAGTGTCTTTCACCAGAGTGCTACCTTCTTTTTAGTTGACGAAACTAGCTTGACACATCATTATCGCCCAGAGTCCATAGTCGACATTAGGGTTAACACTTGACATTATACATTTTGTGGGTTTTGACAAATAAATATGTATTTACTTTATTTTAAAAGAAGTATCTATTTTATTTTATTATTATTTTAAAATTTGCCACAGACACATGCACTCGCCGGGGGGGTGTGGGGTGAGAAAGTAAGCTGTCAGTTCCGGGACTCAAACCATGGTCAGTCAGGTGGGAGTCCATCACCTTAACCACCCTACATCCTACTGGCCTTGTATAATGTTCATCTTTGTCATTTAAATTCAGGACTCTGGAGTTTTTAAAATCAATCTGAATGTATTACATCGGTCTCCTTTTTTTCCACTCTAGGAATCTTACATCTTTTTTTTATTAAGGTGCAAAATGACCCCACCTCTGCCCCCAGAGCATGTCCATTCTGTAATCCTTTCTCCTCCAGTCCCCTCTTGAGATTTTGGGCATGCATACACATGCACCTGATGTGATTTTCATGCCTCCAGGTCGGGGACTTGAACCGCATAGTCAACCATGTGGGATCCAGCACCTTAAACTTCATACTTTTTGCTGACCTGGAGTCCTACATCTACTACTTCTTTAAAAAAAAATTTATTCATGGGGCCGGCAGGTGGTACAGGACCTTCCACATGGCTGACCATGGTTTGAGTCTTGGACCTGGTGGCTTGCTTTCTCACTTTCCCTTTCTCTCTTTCTCTGTCTCTCATGAGTTAAGTCATAATAATAACAAATAAAATAAATAATTATTTTTAAAAATTTATTCATGGAGATAGTAGATGGCGTAGCAGTTATGTTGCTGGACTCCCATATGGTTGATGTGGTTTGAGTCCTAGGCTCAGTTGCTTGAAAGTCACACTGAGTGTGTGTGCATGTGTGTCCATGATCCTGGGAGGAGAAGAAATTGCAGCATTGCCATCCCTTCTAGGGGGTGATTTCTCACTTTTCTTTTCACTGTCTCTGTCTCTCTCTGGTGAACAAGCATGTCCTAAGGCAAAAAAAACTCTACCAAAAAAAAAAGATTTTTTAAGATTCTGTGTGTTAAGAAAAGCCTTTTCGTTTGTCATTACTGACTTTTATCTTAATTTGATATGTTGTGTGTTTATTATTTCTTCTCTTGCTTTAAAGTTTAGAAGCACTTCCTAGTCCACATATCAAATATTAATCTGTATTTTTATTTGTTTCATTGTGGCTTAAGTTTTTACATTTAGATTGAGTTTGTATTTGCAGCAACCTTCTTATTCTTTTTATAGGATGGAAATGGAGTTGTGCGCGGTTACTACTTATCTGTGTTTCTAGAACTCTCAGCTGGCTTGCCTGAAACTTCCAAGTAAGAGACATAATAACAACCTTAAAGTACATTTACTTATGTTGCCCTAGGCATGTATAAAATCTTTTGAATGTCACATAGTTGGGAAAAGATTTTTTTAATGAGATATAATTCACATACCATAAAATTGACTTGTTAAAAGATTTCATTTTAGTGTTTCTTAGTAAATTCAGAGTTCTGCAACCCTCACCAATATGTAATTTCATATTATTTTTCTCACCCCACAAAGAAACCTTATACTCATTAACAATACTTCCAATTTCCTTCCCCCTCTTTCCAGTCCTTAGCAACCACTTAACTACTTTTTTGCTAAGAGGGGATGTTTTAAGAAGAAGTTGTAGCTAACTGTGGATCTTTTTGGATATTACACCCAAAAGTGCTGAAAAAGTGCTAGTTTGTCAAATGTTGTTTGCAATGCAGATCTAGAACTACATTACTGAATTTTCTTTTACTCTATTATATGACAGCCTATTGATTTGATATTGATTCATTGTTTTCGGCTAATAAGGAGTAATAGGGATAAGACTTACGTGTTTTCCTGCAACAAGCAAAAAATATCTGTAAACGAAATCAAATTCCAAGACACCGAGACAGATATATCTCTGTTACTGCTCCAGCGTATAGCTGTGAATTTCCAGGTTGCAACATAGGAAAGGAGAAGAGATACAGTCTGGCAGACACCCTTAGCTGAGACATTGCCGCAGTCCAAGGACACCAGTGCAGCTAGAATGCATCAGACAGAATGCCAGAAAATGGAGAGGTACCACACAAAGAACTCTGTGGGCTGGCTGTTTCTGGTGGTTAAAGCAACTGGATCCTACATGGCCAATTGTGTGGTTTGAGGCCTGACTGGTGGCTTGAGAAACACACTGGACACTTATATGTACATGTCCAAAATCCTGAAAAAAAAGGACAAGATGGAAGAGAAGGGATTGTGGTGTGACTATCTCCATGAGAGGTATTTTCTTCTCTTTCACAGGCACACTCACCTACGGGCAGATTACTAAAAAGAAAGAGAATGCCAGAGAGCTGTATTGGGTGCCTTTCGAGTATTAAACAGAGTCCAGATAGGTTATATGTGTGAGGAAACTACCTAAGGTTGGGGAAGAACTGTATGAATGGATTAGAGGGAATCGTGGGTTCCGGTGTTCACATCACCCAAGTCCAGGGAACTATGTTTCCACCAGTCACTGTGGAGAAACATAATTCAGAGGAGGTATTGGGTAGAGTACTGAGGAAGGTTTTGCTTCAGTAGTGGGGAATGGGTATCCCTAGACTGAACTCTGCTCTGGACCTAATTAAAAAGTAAAAGCAAGACAAGAAAGGGTCAAATTGTTTCCAAGCATCTTAATAGCATTCTAGAAAATTTACAGACTGGCGGGTGATGTGGTGGTTAAGGTGCTGACTGTGTGGTTTGAGTCCCAGACCCGGCGGCTTGAAAAATGCCAGATGCATGTGTGTGCATGCCCAAAATCCCAATAAGAGAATGGAGGGGAAGGAATTGTGGTGTGGTCATCCCACCTAGGGAGTGATTTCTCTGTGGGGAGTACCCATCTCCCCCCCACCAGGCTCTCAAATGGAAGAAAGGATGACCCTTAAAAAAAAAAGAAAGTAAAAGAGAAATATAGAAGTTTATTTCTTCACAGTTCTGGAGTCCAAAAGTGTGAAATCTGTTGCTAGGTCAAAATCAGATTTTAGAATTATTGTACCTATTTTAGAATCTGTAGGGATGAATCACATTCACTTTTTTGCCTTTTTCAGCTTCTGGTAGCAGCCACCATTCCTTGGCTTGTGACCACATCATTCCAGTCTTTGCTTACATGGTCATAGGTCTTGTCTTTTTCTTTGCTTTCCTTTTTTTAATTGCTACAGTGTATGTGCACTCACCAGAGAGAAGGGGAAAGTGAGGAGCATGCTCTGGGGGGGATATTATCCTGTAGTCTCTTCTCTCTTCTCCGGATTTTGGGCACACGTGCACACATGCCTGGAGTGTACATTTAGCCATTGAGTTTATTTAGCCATGGGGCTTGAATCATGTAGTTGGCCATGTGTGATCCAGCTGCCTTAACCACCATGCCACCAGGTTAGCCCTCAAAATTCTTAATCATGGCAACATATTCCCCATTTGCTATAGAAGATATCACTTACAGGTTCTAGGGATTAGAATGTGGATATCTTGGGGGGAGAGAAGAGTGGCATTTATTCAGCCTGCTCTAAGTACAGTCTGTAAATCCACTGCTAAAGTAATGGACCTACAGTTAACAAAGCAACAAAGGAGATCAAATCAAATTATATAATAAATACTTAATAAAGGCAGAAAAAAGGAAGATGTAACAAAGAATAAATGGGACAGATACCAAGATATTTTCATATAAAACAGTCTGAGCACCTTTCAGATTGGCTGAATGAACATGAAATTATTTATTTATTTATTTAAATCATTTAAATGGACCTACAGTTAACAAAGCAACAAAGGAGATCAAATCAAATTATATAATAAATACTTAATAAAGGCAGAAAAAAGGAAGATGTAACAAAGAATAAATGGGACAGATACCAAGATATTTTCATATAAAACAGTCTGAGCACCTTTCAGATTGGCTGAATGAACATGAAATTATTTATTTATTTATTTAAATCATTTATTTAAATATTAAAACAGTCTGAGCACCTTTCAGATTGGCAAAATGAACAGGACTTTATTTATTAATTTATTTAAATTATTTCTTTAAATATTTAAATAACCGTTCATAAGAAACTCACTTTAAATATAATGATAAACAGGGGGATCAGCAGCTGGCGTAATGGCGCTGGACTCCCATGTAGTCAACCGTGGTTTGAGTCCCGGACCCAGTGGTTTGAACTCAAGCCGGGCACGTGTGCATGCGTGCCCAAGATCCTGACAAGAGAATGGAGGAGAAGGGATTGCCACGCGGCCATCCCCCCTGGAGGGGGGGTGATTTCTTGCTTTCTGTCTCCCTGTCTTTCTGGTGAGTGCACGTGCCCTATAGCAAAAGCCTCTCAAAAAATATTAATAATGATAAACAATCTTGGTATTAATCGAAAGCAAGTTGAAATACTTATTATAACTTTTTTTCTCAAGAGAGATTTTTGCTATAGGATGTGTACGCTCACCAGAGAGACAGAAAGTGAGAAATCACTTCCCAAGGGGATGGCCATGCTTCAATCCCTTTTCCTCCATTTTCCTCCAGGGATCTTGAGCACGGACATGCCTGGCATGAGTTTCAAGCGGCCTGGTTCAGGACTTGAACACATGGTTGGCCAAGTGGGAGTCCAGCGACATAACCACTATGCCATTTACTGGTCCCTGGAATAGTTATTTTATTGTCAGTCAACAAGATTTCAAAACAAAGAATACGTATTACCAGAGGTAATAAAGCTCACTTATTAATGATAAAGGGATCAATTATTCAAAAGAACATAATCCTAAATATATGTTCATCCCTCTGATAACATCTTAAAAATATGTAAAGCAGGGACCAGCAGTTAGCATAATGGCTGTGTCGCTGAACTCCCATGTAGCTGACCGCGGTTCGAATCCCAGACCTCGTGGCTTTAACTCACGCCGGGCATATATGCATGCGTGCCCAAGATCCCAAGAGGAGAATGGAGGAGAAGGGATTGCAGTGTGGCCATCCCCCTTGGGGAGTGATTTCTCACTTTCTATCTCTCTGTCTCTATCTTTCTGGCGAGCACACACGCCCTATAGCAGAAAGCCTCTCAAAAAAAAAAAAAAAACCCTACCAAAAAAAATACACAAAGCGAAAACTGATAGAAATATCTTTAACTTCATCAGTGAAATAATTGCGTAGAAAATCAAGTATAAGCTTGAATAACACTGTCACCAACTTGATCTGATGAATATTTATAGAATATTCTTTCCGTTAATAGCAGAATGCAAATTATTTTTAACTGTGCACAGACTATTTACCAAGATAGACCATATCCTGGGCCATATAACATCTCAGTAAATTCAGAAGGATTCAGGTTATCTAAATACGATCTCTGACAAAATGGAATACTGTAGATCGTAATCACAGATATTTTTAAAATAGCAGAATAGGCCCAGATTTTTTTTTAAATTTAACTTTATTTATTTATTTATTTTGATTTGACCAGAGAGGGACGGGTGTGGGGGGGAGTGAGAAAGCAAGCCGCCAGGTCCAGGACTCAAACTGCGGTTGGACACATGGGAGCCCAGTTCCAGTCCCTCAACCACCATGCCACCTGCTGGCCCCATTGATGACTTTTCTTAATGTTAAAAGAAGTTTATCTTTTATTACTTTACTAACTATATCAATGTTTTTTTTTTTTTCCAATTTTAGATACGAGTATCGTGTAGAGATGGTTCACCAGTCCTGCAATGATTCTAGCAAAAATATCATTCGAGAATTTGCATCTGACTTTGAAGTTGGAGAATGCTGGGGCTATAATAGATTTTTTCGTTTGGACTTACTTGCAAATGAGGGATATTTGAATCGGCAAAATGATACAGTAATTTTAAGGTAATAGAAAACATTTGATATTTTGACTATTTTTTCCTCCTTAATTGCTGCCCTTCCCCCCAGCCCCCCCCCCCACGCCTGATTTGTTTTTTAAGCTGTGGGCTGGCCATGTGGGATCCCTTACTATACTACAGGGCTAGCCCAGATATTGTGGCTTTTATTAATGGGGAATAATGTCATGGGAACAAGGGCCTTATGTCATAGTCATAGCTGGCTCGTTCATCAGGGCACACAAGCACACCTGTGCACAGGGCGGTTTTGGGGTGCAGGCAGAGGACCTTTCCCTCGTGGGTCCAGCTTCATCTCCACCATATTACTGTGAGGCTCCCCACAAACTTTCTGGAGTTCCCTCATATTAACGCTTTTTGTTGTTGTTCTAGCCCTAGTTGAAACATGGTATATTAAAAAGTTAGGAAGTTTTCTTTTTTTTTTTGAGAGGTTTTTGCTATAGGGTGCGTGCGCTCACCAGACAGAGAGAAACAGAGAGACAGAAAACAAGAAATCACCCCCTAGGGGGGATGGCCACACCGCAATCCCTTCTCCTCCATTCTCCTCTCTAGATCTTGGGCATGCACGCACACACGCCCGGCGTGAGTTTTAAGCCTCCGGGTCCAGGATTACGCTAACTGCTGGTCCTGGAAGTTTTCATTTTAAACTACTCTCTGGAGAGGTTGAGCTTACAGTGTATTTAGAGTATATACTGCTTGGGACCAGCAGGTGGCATGGTGGTTAAGGTGCTAGACACTCCCACAGGCCTACCGTGGTTTGAGTCCTGGACCTGGTGGCTTGCTTTCTCACTTTCCCTCTCCCTCTCTCTCTCTCTCTCTCTCTCTCTCTCTTTCTCTCTCTCCGTTCAAGTTGAAATGAATGAATAAATAAAACTAAATAAATAATTCTTTTAAAAAAATAGAGTATATACTACTTCTTTGGTAAGAAATATTAGGTTTTTGGGAAAGTCGTGATGTATTTTTCCATTTTTCTGTACAAAAATGTATCATGACTTTCCAGACAACTCAGTATATGGAGTAAGACAGTCCTGTGTAGTTAACTTAGTACATTATTTTTCTGGGACCAGAAGATGACTTAATGGTAACATCACTGGACTCACGTGTAGTTGACTGTAGTCTGAATCTCATACCTGGCAGCTTAAAATTCATGTCAGGCATGTGTGCGTGCGTGCCCAAAATGCTGAAAGGTGAATGGAAGAGAAGGGATTTCAGTGTGGCCATACCCCCTGGGGGTTATTTCTCACTTTTTGTCTCTCTGATGAGCACACATGCCCTCTGGCAAAAATCTCTCAAAAAAAAAAAGTAAATTGGGACCAGCAGTTAGTGTAATGGCTATGTCACCGGACTCCCATTTAGTCAACTGACTGCAGTTCGAGTCCCGGACCTGGCGGCTTAAACTCACGCCGGGCGCGAGTGCATGCGTGCCCAGGGTCCCAAGAGGAGAATGGAGGAGAAGGGATTGCGGTGTGATCAACCCCCCTGAAGGGTGATTTCTCACTTTCTGTCTCTGTCTCTCTCTCTGTCTTTCTGGCGAGCGCACATGCCCTTTTGCAAAAACCTCTCCCCCCCCCCAAAAAAAAAAGAAAAAAAAAAGTAAATTATTTTTCTTGTGGGACAGGAAATAGGGGAATGTGAGAGCTAGCTCAGTGATGCAGTATTACTGTGCTGTTCAAGGAAACAGGGTCAGCCCTGTAGCCTAGTGATTTAGAGAGCCAGATCCCACATGGCAGACTGCACAGTTTAATTTTCAGTCCTGGCAGCTTGCAAAGCACATCAGGCACCTATGGATGCTTATCCAAATTCCTAATAGGATAGGGAAATGGAAAAAGAATTGCAACATTATCACACCCCTCTGTGGGATGCTTTCCTCCTCACCTTCTCTCTCTAGTGAGTATATATGCTTTCTTAAAAAAGAAGACGATGGGGCCAGCAGGTGGTGTAGTGGTTAAGGGCACTGGACTCCCACAGGGCTGACGACAGTTCAAGTCTCAAACCTGCCAGCTTGCTTTTTCACTTGCCTTCTCACTCTGTCCTTCTCTGGTCAAATTTAAATACGTACATACATACATACATAAATACAAAGTAATTCTTTTTTTAAAAAAAAGAAGAAAAAGAAACTATGCTTTTGGGCTGATCTCTTCGTCTAGTGGTTAAGGGAGCTGGTATCCCACGTGGCCGAGCCTGCTGTTCAAATCCTGTACCCAGCAGTAACACACTGGGCATGCGCACATGGATTCCCAAAATCCCAACAGGATGGACTAATAGAAGAAAAGGGATTGCAGTGTGATCACACTCCACTGGGAGTGCTTTCTCTCTCTCTACCTCTCTGTCTCTCTCTTGCAAGAAATACCCATGCCCTCTGGCAAATAAATATGTAAATAAACAAAAAAGAAATGGGAAGTAAAAGAGTGGTACTTGGGGCCAGCAGGTGGCTTAGTGGTTAAGGCACTGGACCCCCACATAGCCCACTGCCATCCGAATCCCAGACCTGGCAGCTTGAAAATCATGCTGGGTATATGTACATGTGTGACTAAAATCTCAGGAGAGTGGAGAAGGGATTGTGGCGTGGCCATTCCCCTGTAGGGTGGTTTCTCTCTTTCCCGCGTT